TCCTTGGGTTCCCTCCCAGGGAAGAAGGGGGATGGAGATGGTGCTGGCATGCTCCCCTAGTGGGGAGCACACACAGGGTCCTTTGTCCTGAGCATATTTATCTCTTTCTTACAGGTGGAAATCTTAGGGGAGATTTCAGGGGAGGGTCTTAACAGAGTATTCATCAGCTTTTCAGGTATGCTTTTTCAGGGTCCGGGTCATGGTCTCCATTGATTGGTCGGTGCCAGGGAAGGGAGTCATTAGTCAACATATCTGGTACTGAGGCAGCCATTGCACCACTTGTCTGGTTTTGCTGCCTTTCTGGGCTTGGAGCTAAAATACAACTGAGGCCTAGAGGTTATCTAAACCACATGACCAGGAGTATGCTAGAGGTTACCCTGGGGACAAGATTCTTGTTTTCCCAGTTTTACCCCTTGCTAGGCATTCAGGGCTTCCTGCCCTGGTGAGTTTCTGTACCCAAGTTTCTGTACCTGTGTTTCTGTATCTGTCCTATCTAACAGGGACTCTATCAGTTGAAGTGCTTGGTTTCTAACCTGGCCAGGCGTGGCTCAGTGGTTGAGCATCGACCTAGGATCCAGGCGATCAGGGTTTGAATCCCGATCAGGGCACATGCCTGGGTTGCGGGCTAGCCGATCAATGACTTTCGTCATTGATGTTTCTATCTCTCTCTCTCCTCCTTTTCTCTCTCTGAGGTCAATAAAGATTTTTTTTTTTAAAGTGCTTGGTGTATAAACGACTGAAATCATGACTCAAATTAGCTTAAGTAAAAAACAACCACACACACACACACACACACACACACACACACACACAGGGGAAATCTCAAAGGCATCTGATTCAGGCGTGGCTGGATCCAGGTGCTTAAACAATGTTGTCAAGGCATTGACCCTCTTTCTGGGATCTCCTCTCTTCTGTTTTTTATTTTTATTTTTTAAAAATATATTTTTTATTGATTTCAGAGAGGAGAGATAGAAACATCAATGATGAGTCATTTTTCAGCTGCCTCCTGCACACCACCTGCTGGGGATCAAGCTCAAAACCTGGGCATGTGCCCTGACCAGGAATCGAACCATGACCTCCTGGTTCATAGATTGATGCTCAACCACTGAGCCACTCGGGCTGGGCTGTTGATGAATATTTAAGTTGTTTCCACCCTTTGGCTATTGTGGAGAATGTTGCTGTGAACATGGGTGTTGGGTGTACAAATCTCTGAGTGCCTGCTTTCAATTATCTTGGGTATATGCTTACAGTGGAGCTGCTGGGCCACAGAGTAATTATGTTTAACTATTTGAAGAACCACCAAACTATTCTGAAACACTGCTGCACCATTTTACATCCCTACCTGTATGTCTTTCTGAATTTTGAGAAATGAAAAATGTGCAGAAAATTAAATTAAAGAGATTTTTTGGGGGGAGGTTCATTTTATTATATGCAGAAAATTTAGGCATTTAAAAATAAATAAATATGTCTTTATTGGTTTCAGAGAGAGGAAGGAAGAGGGAGAGAGAGATAGAAACATCAATGATGAGAGTCATTGATCAGCTGCCTCCTGCATGCCCCCTATTGGGGATGGAGCCCACAACCCTGGCATGTGCCCTGACTGGGAATGGAACAGCGATCTCCGGAATCATAGGTGGATGCTCAACCATTGACCCATGCAGGCCAGGCTAGGGATTGTTTTTAATGACATGCTAATCAAAGATCATCATCAATTGTTTTTTATTTTCTACTAATCAACAAATGGGGGTCCTTTCAGACCTTTTTTTTTCTTTACTTAGAAATGGGGTTAAACCAGGGTTTTCTGGCCTCTGCACTGTGGACATTTGGGGTCAGTTCTGCTTAGGGGAAGTGTCCTGTGCACTGTAGGGTGCTGAGCAGCATCCCTGCCCTCCAGGTTTTGGTGCCATTTGATGTCAGGTGCACCTCCCAATCTCAACAGCTACAAATGTTCCCAGACATCACCCAGTGTCCCTTTGGGGTGGGGTGGTACAACGGCCCCTGTTTTAAAATCACTGGTTTAAATCTGTTTAACTAGAATGAATAACTGGATTTGCTCATAAAATGAGCATGTTTTGTCCAGGAGTTAAGAGGTCCTCTTCACCTACTGTACAGATTGGAAAACTGAGGCCAGGAGTTGGCTAGGGTCCCAGTCCAGAATTGGAAACTACCGTTCAGTGGGGCAGCCCCTCAGGAACTACGTGGCAACAGCAAGTTGAGCTGGGTGAGTGACTGCAGCGGGTGTCGAGTAGCTCTCTGACTCTGTCTTTTTATACTGCTGATTTCTCAA